AGCAGCGTCGTTCGGGGCGGGCATAATAGTACAATCGACTTCGGTCTCAACTTGGTCAACGAGAGAGACGATTGCGGAGGTAGACAATCTGGCTTTGGAGAATTCTATGGCTTAAGGAGGTCCATGCCGGCTGTTTCTCGCCCTTCTTAAAGCTGATGAGTTTGTCCGGAGGCAGGAAGAGGGAGGAAGGAATGGTAGTGATGCTTGAGTAGGAAATAGCTGTGGTGGAGTGGATGTCACTGGAGAAGATGGCGGCGATGAGGAGAGAAGAGAGATGGCCTAAAATTTTTACTGGCCAAATAATATTTTCAGTATATGTTATGTTTAAACACAATATATTTTCAGTATATGTTGCGTTTTTATTTACACAACATTTATCTAACCACAATAGTGATGTTTGAATTTCGTTTATAATTTTTGTTTATATTTCTACTTAATCTTATAACTACAATATGTACAACATTGATATATAAAGCATATTATAGGCACTCTCATGATGTAAAAAAAATGTATACATACTCGATTGTATTTTTTTTGTTTTTTTTTTGCTCAACCAAAATTTAGTTTATGCTTGGTTTATAACCTGTTAGTATGTATATAATATATAAATAGATCTACACAATTTTCTGTTTATATTTCTACTTAATCTTATAACTACAATATGTACAACATTGATATATAAAGCATATTATAGGCACTCTCATGATGTAAAAAAAATGTATACATACTCGATTGTATNNTTTTTTTTTTTTTTTTTTTTTGCTCAACCAAAATTTAGTTTATACTTGGTTTATAACCTGTTAGTATGTATATAATATATAAATAGATCTATACAATTTTCGTCTCCATAATATTAAACCTAAAGTTGGTTGGAAGCTTATGCAGAAGAAGCTTCAATTCGATAAAGGTGAGTCCAAAAAAGTGCACACAAAAAACTGGCCAAAAAAAGAAGGCAGTGCAAACACTTCCGACAACGTCGACGAAATCTAACCAACAAAAAAGCAAACACGGGCATTAGAATAATTTCATTTTATGTTGTGTTTACAGTCAACATATATTTAGTGTATGCACTAATAAGAACCATGACAAAAACAAACATCCATTCACAAAAACTACTCAACAACTAAAACATAGATACACGACAAAACTACAAATAAAAATCTTTGAACAAACATCACATAACTATAAATAAATTTCTCATCAACATAAAAATATGCTAAATAGACAAACATAAACTATGAATAAATATCAAATAAACATCGAAACAGATTCAATCAAAACTATTCGCATGCTGCCGATGCTCGCAAGCAGAGTTGTCGTCGTGTCATTGAGACTCCGCCGACGACTGTTCCAAAGATGAGCCCACAGCCGCAACTGCTCTTCTCTAAAATTCTCTATAAATCACCGCCACTAGTTGTTGCTACATTTGGACGAGCCAAGCGAACCACTGCTGCTCGAAAGCGGGGATGTTGTTCGTCTCGTAGCGTCACCTTGGATAAACTCCGCTGGTGCTCGACCCTTAGCCACTGGTGCCCGACAGATCGAGTTCCCACCGCCCTTGGCTAATGCCTGCCGCCAGCAACCTCCGCCACTCACGAGCCGGAAGAGACCACCGCATGATCGTAGTCATCGCTTTAGCCGCTAAAATTTTTGGTTGCCGCATTACTCCACCAGGCAAGAGGCGAGTGTAACCCAGCAGCCCCCTGCCATCGGCTGTCATCACTAGGCTTCTAGAGGAAAAAAAATAAGGGAGAGTAAGATTGAAATAGGGAGAAGAAAAATATGAAGGAAGAAGAAAAATATAAGGAGAGAGTGTATGAGATGGGAGTTTTAATGTCATAAAACGTGAAAAATTGTTTTGGTTAATTCCTTAAAATATATAATTATATTTAAACCATCATTCTATTATATGTGCAAATAAATATATTAGTGCAGTGGTTTGCTAAATTTTATATATGGATGGTATACAATAATATTGTATGGTGCACTAGGTAATTATCGTCTTTCCTCACATTCTAAATGGGCATGTATTGTCAAGTCTTTTATTAGAGGAATTTACATGCTCCACTGAAAGAATCTGAAAATATTACATAAGTACATTCCCTATATAATTACTTACAAAATAACTAAAATTGTTATATTTATTTGCATATATGCCTAAAAAGCTTATTTCCTATTCACATTCCTATTTACATGGTAACTTCCTATCAACTAGGTCTCTCTCCTCTCCCCTATCTCTCTCTTCTTCCTGGCTCTGGACCAAGGTGCATAGCCTTTTAAGATTCTCTTTCTCTCTTTCTGGCTTAGCCCACGAGAAAAATGACTCCTTCTTATTGATAGCACAAGTGAGAACACCCGTAATGGGCAAGCTTCACTATTATCCCAAGAATGAGGAATGAAAGAACTTCTGCTATCTACTCACTCTTGCCACTAATGAATCGAAGCAAATGCCGATCTGCTGCTTTAAAGTTTATTAGGGTTTTTTTTTTTTTTTTTCAGGTACAAAATATGTGTATGTTTGAAAAATATGCCCCCACCCCCTTGGCTCCAGACCCCTCAACCCCTAAATACCACCGCACAAACCAGAGAGGGATTGACTAGTCGTCAAGCCCGAACGATAAGCTTCGGTCACAGTCGCTTCGCTCAGTGTAGCTAACCATTAAACTGTGAAAGAAAAAAGCTTCGCGTAGACCAAGAGAGGGATGCCCGGGCGGGTATCCCGAACGAATCTCCTGGAGAGAAGTGATACCCGGGTGCGGAGCACGAACGGAGCTAATAGGCAGTCTTTAAATCTGTAAATTTCCTGAGATTTTAGACGATGAAGGCTAATGATATTTCTTATTGGATTTCTTCGTGTGTGAGCTTTCTCCGTATTTATCGATTATTTTTGTTTCATTATTCATGATCACAAGGTTATTAACTTTATTTCTATGTGAAATCAAATTTCCTCATCTTTATGTACAATATATCTCCGGTATATGTACAGTATATGTTCACGGCAGCATATGTTGCGTGTATAGACATGCAGTATATGTGGTGTGTATAAGGAGTATATGTTCAGTATATTAGAAGATTTTTTCTTACATTGTTCAATATATGTTCTGTGTATAGAGAGTATATGTTCAGTATATTAGAAGTTTTTTTTTTTTTTTTTTTTTTTT